GATGTGGTGCGATAATTGTAAATATGGCTAAAATCACACATTCCATACAATTTAAAATCTATTTGAAATACAGCAAATTATATTGTTTATTAGAAATATTTTAATGTATTAGCTTGAATTTAGTACATTTAAAAAAATTCATTTTAAACCTTAGGTAACGATTTCCTATCTATCTATCTATCTATCTATCTATCTATCTATCTATCTATATATATATATATATATATATATATATATATATATATATATAAGTGTTCGTGTGTCTTTGTGTACGTGTATATATATATGCATATGTACGTCTGTATCAGTATGCCCATATGAACTCGTGTGCACTTTTAAATTGCCAATATGAACAAAAATGCATATAAAATTCACAGTATTCTGAAAATGTCTTCTGTGTTAAAAATATTTTGGAGAAGTTTGTGTGTGATGGAAAGGAAGAAAATTCCCTTTGATGTTTTTTCTGACACGGAAATACTTTTCTTTTGAGCTCTTTAGAAATTTAGGTTTTCAAAGGCCTACCTACGCAGTTTCCAATAAAGAAGAAAAACATACAAAAAGTTTAAACCAATAACAATCAAATAAAAACAAAATGTCATTTTTAAAATTATCGGTTATTGTCATTGCAACTATTATTATCATAATAATATTTAATAATTTGATTCGAAATTATACTAACAATGGGAAAAAAGAAAAGAAAAATGAACTATTTACCACAAATTTTCTTTAGAAAATCAATGTTAAATTTCTCCTTTGAACCATATAAAAATAATATTTTAAAGAGGGAGTATATTAACATTAGATATACAGATGCCACTGTCTTAATGGTAGATGTTGAAAGAAAATTACAGGAACACCTTGACATAGTATTAAAGAAAGGCAAGAGGAAAGGACTAACAACCAATTGTTAGAAGGAAAATGTTGCGATTGTCTGTATTTCTGAGATGAGGTATTGTAATTATTTACACAATTTACATTGTACGGGCTATTGTTTTCATCTTTGTTGTCTGGGCTTCAGGATCTGTCTATACTTGTCATGCCCTGCCTCTTCCGGGTGTCCCAGTTATCTCCCTTTAATTAAATCTTCTTAGTTTTTGTTCAGCACTGCAGTAGCCAAGTATTGGACTTAAAAATCTTTATTTGGTCAAGTCACTGGATCCAACTAACGCTTTTAGCCACTTAGGCATGGCACGTGGAACTAGGACAATGTACCACAGTGGACGAAATAATGAGTTCAGGTCGAAATTCCAATCACCTGAAGAAGGCCATAGCGTACAACGGTCGAAGCGTCGTGAATATCGCAACAAAGATGAGGACAAGAGTCCAACTCATGTTTGAATGCGGAAAGCAGATGAAAATGTTATTTCTTTCTACTTCATTGACCTCTGTTCTATCTCCAATTTTATCCACTGAATAACATTTTTCAGCGTCAAGCATCTGGGTAAACATAACAAATTTATCACAGACCGTGAAGTACCAAACTTTTAGTAACTATTAAGAATGTAATAATTAGAAGAGAAATTAGGACGCCAACAGTATTTCAGCTTTATAGCGTCCTGGGTAAGACGATAAACTACATCCAGCAGCAAGGATTCTGATCAGGAGGTTTTGGGGAACGTGGAACCACCTCTTAATTGCTGGTGTTTCCAGGTCCACCTTGACACGAGGTGGTAGCACCTGTTAGGGTCTCAGCTATGGGCTAATAGTTAACCCCTAAACAGGGGTCAAAACACTATGAAAGTGTAAAAATAGTTTTTAATATAAAAAATTATTACCAGCAATACATTTTAAAAAAAAAAAAAGATATTACCAGCTATACTTTCTTTCTGTTTGTTTGTTTTGTTGTTTTTTTGTTTGTTTGGGGGGGGTATTATTTCTCTCTCATTCCCTTTCTCTCTCATATGGGCAAGACGATAAACTACATTCGGCAGCAAGGCCTCTGATCAGGAGGGTTTGAGGAGCGTGGAACTACCTCTTAATTGCTGGTGTTCTCAGGTCCACCATGACCCGAGTTGATAGCACCTGCCAGGGATCCAACTATGGGCAAATATTTCCTCCCCCCGCCCAATAAAAAGGAAATTATGAAAGTATAAAAGTAGGCTTTAATACCAGCAATACTTTTTTTAGAAAAACTTTTACCAGCAATACATTTCTGAAAAAGAAACATTACTAGCAATACATTTTTGAAAAAAAATATTACTAACGTTACATTTTTGAAAAAAATATTAACAGCAATAAAAATCTTGTCGGCATTAAATAACCCACTGAGGTTGATATGCCGTAAAATGAAAACAAAACAAACAAGCAACTTGATATCTTGATTTTTCAGTTGTTGGCGCGTTATTCTATTTGCGTGACAATATTTGACACCATTAAATAACATAAGTGTGATTACTTAATCAAACGAAGATACGAATCCTTTGCTGACAAAAGCGTAATATACAGTAGTATAATTCTTTAAAGTTTATTGATGCTGTTTTGTAACCAGTAGTTTAAGAAATAAAGGAGGTAGGAATGTGTTACTGTAACAGTTTCTTGATAATATCCCAAATGCGTAGAAAGCATTTATTCAAAACGTTAATTTAATTTTGAAACATTTCGCTTGTTTTATTTTCAAGGACTCAGAATCAAATGCAACTGCGGAGCTGACCCCAGACTTATAACCTCCGTTACCGACCGTCGATTTATAAGACGCAGGGTAGATTTTGGAGATATTTTATAGAAAAATATGCGTCTTATAAGCAGCCATATACAGCAATAAAGAAAAGGGATCGGTGGGGATATAAATTTGATGTTTCTGCGCATAAACCATTAATGGCAATATTCAAAAAAAATTTTATGATAGACATTAACATGTTAATATTATAATGTGATGTTTTGATAACAACTGAAAAGAAATAAAGATAATCAAAGGACGGTAAGTACTGTGGAACTGATTATTATGATGAGGATATAAGTAATGATATTGCGAAAATAGTAAAGGCTGACAGCTTGTATTCCTGTCTGCTAGGGTAGCTAGCCAATCAGGCTCATTTGTGTTTGTTCAACTCCCACAGAGCCCACATGTGGTTTATATTGCAACATGGCTGAGCGGAACTTAGTTCAAATTTCTGAGTGAGAGCGCGTTATCTGACTTGATCAACATTCTTGTTCAGGCAACTACACTCAAACCCTCGGCCTCAATTAATCCTAGCTCAACCGACGATGACTCCCACATAGTTCTGTCTATCAAAAGTCACTCACAAGGATTGAGTCAATCTGTGGTATCCTTTTTTAGGCACTTCCCAAGGGTCCTCCCAAGCCGATAACAAAGTATTAATAAAATGTCAATCGAGACAGATATGATTGTCAATTAAAGTGATAATTTCGCTTATGTATGGGAATTAGCATCCAATAATTATTTAGTAAAATATATAGGAAACAGTAATTGAACGTCAAAAAGGAGAAAGCAAAGGTGAGAAAGAAATGTAGGAAAAGAGAAGGAAGAAAGAAAGAAAGACAGAAAAAAAATAAAGATACAATAAAGTAAAGCAGAATAAAGGAAGAGAGCAAGAGAGATCGTTAAAAGACAGAAAAAAGCATGAAAAAAGAAAAGTGAAAAATAAAGCCTAAAAAGGAGAAGGAATAGGAAAAAGAGAGAAGATCAACAAGGAAGAAAAAAAAGAAAGAATTAAAAAAGGAATAGAGGGAAAGATGGCTAGAAAAATAGAAGTTATAAGAATAAGAAAGGGAATGAAAATAAGAAAAAAAATAAAAATGAGAGAGACAGAATGATTCATTGAAAAATAAAAAAGTACAAGGAATAAAAAAAGTGTGATGATCAACAAGAAAGGAAAAAAGGGAAGTATATAAAAGAAAGAAGAAGAAAGAAGGGTAGAAAAAGAGAAAGAATAAAAATAAGAAAAGGAATGAGAATTAGTAAAAATAAAGAGACAGAAATATTGATTAAAAAATGGAAAAGTTCAAGGAATAAGAAAAAGAGTGATGGTCAACAAGGATGGAAAAAGGGAAGTGTTAAAAAAGGAAGGGAGAGAAAAAAGGCTAGAAAAAGAGAAGCTAAAAGAATGAGAAAGAGAATGAAAATTAAAAAAAAAAAACGAGAAGATACTCTGATTGAAAAATAGAAAAGTTCAAAGAATAAAAAAGAGAGATAGTCAACAAGGAAGGAAAAGGGGAAGTATTAAAAAAAGGAAGAGACAGAAAGAAAGAAAAAGAGAAGAAAAAAAAACGAACGTTTGAAAGATAAACGGAAAGTGAATGAATAAGAGTGAAAAAGAGAGAAATTCCGGAAAAGAAAAGTTTTAAAAAGAGAAGACAGCTAGCCTGAAAAAAAAAAAAGAAAGAATGATTATTAAATAGAAGTGAAGGAAAAAATGCAAAAACATATCCTGGTTATAGGAATAAACAACGCACCCTAAATTCCAAGAAATATAAAAAAAAAAACATTCATAATGCTATAGCAAGCAAGAAACGAAATCACTTTATTAATTTACGCTGTCGTTAATCGATATTTGATTTAAGAAAAAAAGTGATACGTTACTTCCTCTCTTTCTCAACCTTTCAAATTTCTACATTGTAGAAATTTGATCAAAATCAATCAATTAGGCGCCAAGTGCGAAAAACAGCTTTCGATCATACACATAAAAATATATTCGTTCAAAAACACAGATAAATATAAAGTTCAGCCTTCTAAAAACACCTAGACATCCACCCTCACAAATACACGTAGAATACTATGCAAATGTCTTCGACAATTCTAAACTAATATAATTATTCGTGTTTGTTTTATGATATTTTTAAACCAATACGATGCTCAAGAGCTACTTATGGTAGAGACTTAGCGAATGACGTTATTGTAAAGAAGTAAGAAGTGCAAATTATGAATAGATGTAAAGATGTTAAGATCGGGGAGCATCCTTTCGGATGTTCTTTACACAAAGTAACAGTTCTTGGGAAGTAGTTGTTCTTTCTTCCTTATGAACGAAACTCAAGGAAAAGATGAATGAGCCGACCCTATGTACGTGCCAAGGCACGTTTAAGTTTAAATGTCTGAACAGTTAAAACTAGGATTTTACAAGCATGTATTCTCTATGGTGTCATCTTAGATCATTATAATAATTTATTTCACCAGAGCCCTTTTAAGGAAGGCTGGATCATCATTATGTATTCTCTATGGTGTCATCTTGGATCATTTTAGAATTTAACAGGTGAAATTATCTGTTTCCTTTCTTAGAAAGTATTTAGTCAAAACACAATCAAATAAATAAAATGAAATGTACACATTGCGGTAGATTTTTACAAAGAGCTTGCCACGCATTTATTCACTAATATGGTAGTGGTTCGAATTAAAAAAAAAGGGGGGCATGATTCGATAAAATGTTGCTGAGGATACAATCCAATTAACATTTGTGACAAATTACAAAGTTTTAGAGAATATGGTAACACAAAGAACGCTATGTATCGTTAGTTAAAATATTAGGTTACATAAAAAGAAAAGTCGGTTAGGAAAGTTTGACACTCACAAGACATATTGAAGACAACAGGGACGGAGAAAAGCCGCGAGTAACCTACATAACAAGTTTGTGTACAAGATTAGCAGAAAAGGGATTAGACGACACAGCACAAAAACAAAATTATTAAGGGCTACAAACGAAAGGAAATTATGGAGAGCCATGATTGTACGCGGCCTGAAGAGACGGAACAAATAGATGAAAAATAATTTAAAAAAAACAGTATCGCTTATTTCTATTTATGCATTGCTTATTCCTTGTTTTCAAGCTGTGATCAAAAAGCTAACGTGGTTTCTACATATAGGCCAGAAAAATGTTTTTCTTTAATTAACTAAGTAATTAGATTCTAAAAACAAAATTTATTCAAAAATAACATAATAGATCATATTGGGGATGTATAACAAAAGATCTATTTTTTTTTTTAATTTGCTTTTTGATGTTTAGTATCCATTTTTTTACCTTCATTAAATCAGCAACCAGTAAGTTGGGCAAGATATAAGAAAATGCTCTTAGTTATTGTACAACTGCCTGCCTAATGTTACACACACGTATATACAGATATTCAGTTTATATATATATATATATATATATATATATATATATATATATATATATATATATATATATATATATTATAAAAAAAAATGGTAATCCGTATAGATAGTTCAAGGAGGATGAAATCCTGAGAGGTCAATGTAAATCCAGAGCTAATAATTTAAAGAAAAGCAGACCACTTTAAGGTTTCATTATAATAATTTATTTCACCAGAGTCCTTTTAAGGGACGCTGGATCATCAGATAACACCTACAACAAATCTTTTTGAAAAAGTGTTATCTGATGATCAACAACCTTCCTTAAAAAGGGCTCTAGTGAAATAAATTATTATAATGAAAAAAAAGTGGTTTTTCTTTTATATATATATATATATATATATATATATATATATATATATATATATATATATATATATTGAGACCAGAAACTACCTACACAATAGACTCTTCCAGGCCTATATTAAGTAGGCGACATAACACTTTAGAGAGTGACACAGAGAGACAGTGAAAGTCTCGTACGACTACCCGTGTTAGACAGTAACATATAGTAATCTCCGCTTACACTATCTCTGTAACCTGTTGTTAATATATCTTTCTTACATCTAATCCGTGTTCCGTGTTTTCCTTCTGTGGTCCCAACTTTGGCCCCACATCATATATATATTATTATTATTATTATTATTATTATTAAATTGATAAAATTGGACATGTTAAACAAGAAGAAAAAATGTGATCGAAATGTTAATGTAGTTTCGATATGCAAGGTAGAAAATTATTTTTGCTTAAATATCTAAGTAATTATATTCTAAAAACCATAAATAAAATAGTTTATTTTAAAAAAAGATCATGAAAGATCATATTGGAGATATATATAAAAAGCGTCTAATTTTAAAATTTTATTTTTGATGTTGAATATGAAAAATGTTTACCTTCATTAAACCAAGAAACGGTAAGTTGGACAAGATATGAGTAATATGCTCGTAGATCTTATACAACCTCCTACCTAATGTTACATACACATACATATATTCAACTCTATGTATATTTTTATTAAACTGATAAAACTGGAAATGTTAAAACATGAAGAAAACTTTTAAAAAGGAGTTGGTTAACAAAAAAGATTACTGTAAAGTGGTGATATCGGGATATAACACGATTAACAAAAAAGAGAGATAAACCGGTTTATCGATCCTCTCTGATAAGTTCGTGGACGTATATGTGCAAAACGACTAAAAATGAAAATTCAAGAAAAACTGTTATATGTAAGAAAAATTAGCGCCTACCAACTATTTTTTTGTTTACAGAGAAATGGCTGATTGGACTTAATATAAAGGAAAATGTTTATTCCGTGGAACGCTTTATATATTACGATGGGCTGGTGAGAAATGCTGGGTTCGATAAATATCTTTCAAAACTGAGACAGCTGTTTGCACCATCTGGCTAGAATTTAGGAAGTAATTCTAATGACCATAGGTTCAGGATAACTTTTCTATATATTTTCTATATGGGAACTTAACCATAATAATAATGGACTATTCCTGACCTTATAAATACTGCGCCTCTCAAGAGGTATGAGTATGTTGTAAGACGAGGAGAGATAACTGAGAGTATATTGTAAGGACATTGGTATAGTGATACTTGTCGAGACAACATAGTTCACTCTAACCAAATCTGATAGTCATTACTAATACTTCTACTTCTTTGTATTATATTTCTGTTGTAATATATCTTTGTATTCCATATCTGTGTTCGTGTTATTCTTTCATTGGTTCTAACCTTGGACCATCACCGTGGTACAAGGAACTTGGACCATAACACTATATAAATCAGCATTTGTGACTTGCTTAGGTAAAAAATGTTTTTGTATGAACTTTTCCTCTTTCCTATCGATGAACAGGAATATATCCACGGCATTAGCACAATTCCAGATTCGTTCTCACCAGGAAGATAGATTATTATCAAAGCGGCCTTTGCTTATTTAATGCTACGATTGTATAAGAATACAAGGCTAAATTTATTGATTATAAACCTACGGAGTTAGTTAATATTGGCGTGTGATTGTGAAAAAATTTCCCAGCTTCTCTGAACGTGAATCTCTTTCTCGCGAAGATGTAAACAGCTATTTTACCCTCAGATGGACCCTTATATAGCCTGATGTCTCCCGGTTGTCATACTTGTGCACACCATAATTATAGCTAGGTCGAACATAGGTTTACATGTCGGAGGTAGTTACTGATATTCTATGAGACGCGAACCTGTATCGGGTGGCTAGGATACCACCTACCATGTCAAGTTTCTGACACTCTATCCGTCCCTGATGCTCTCTTGTTACGCAAATAACGATTTCTACTTTTGTATCAATTAGGGAGCGCTCAGTACAGATTGAGATCACCACAGATCAAATTCTCTTAAAACAACGGCCCCTTATTGACTTTAAATTTGATTCAAACCATCTGTTATATCCTGGCTTGAATCATACAATACACGAGGGCCTGGTAGGTTTTCACCAGAGTGCCACCACGCAACATATACAACAAAAGGTCAAATTAAAGTTTGTTTATCGTCAGTACCATGAAAAAATACCCAAGCACTTTCGACACTTCCTCTTTTGGGGACGTCTCAGGCGTCGCGCAAAGAATCAGCTTCCTCCCGATGGAGATGTAAAGCCTAGGAATATGGACCTCTCCCCACGGCCTTATATCCACTAACCTTTTGGAATCGATGAATAAGATTCTTTTCTTCATTCATTCCATTTATTGGAATCCTTTTGAAGAAGTTATTTCCGCGCACCCAACAATTTTCCAAAATTTAAATGCAACGTTAATCGCTATCTTTTGTCTTCCAGAATCCTGTTCCGTCATCCTGAAACCTGCATCTTTATTCTGTTTTCCTCGCTTCTCACTAAAGTTTTCTCGTTCATTTTCACTCCCTGTAACCCACTGCGTCTTAGTGGCATTATCACCTTGTTTGAGGTGGAATGATTAATAAAAAAAAAAAGAATATTCAATCGATTTTATTTTACGAATTCGCACTTAACTCGGTGAATATCGAGTTTAGTTCTGAGTCAAAAACAACAGATTCTCGTGGGAAAATGTCGAGAAAATTCTGAGCTAGTGTAATTGGTTCATAAACTGCCAAGAAAAAAGAAAAACTTTTTTGAAAAAATGTATTTGCTGACTGATAACTTTAACTGTAAAAGGTAATTAAACACACTTCTAATTCAGGACGTAGACTATCATAGCTCTCCACAACATCCTGTATTTTGTACCTATTAGTAAAGTTTTATCTTTTTGTTATCTCTCTTAATCCTTGATTTGGCAACGATTTACACATGGTTTACCCTATCCACAAGCCCTCTTTCCGTTACCAGCATAGTGATTCGCACCCACTACGTGATTCGCCCTCACTACGTGATTTTCTTTGTGAGGCCCCTTGGTCTGATATCTTTAAACAACCTAATGAAAATTGCGCCACTGAAGTTTCTTCTTGGGTCATGGGCGACATGGACACGTTCATCCCTAGGTGAAGACTAGGTGAAACGACAATCCTCTACGTGGTTTACAGCAGCATGCTTGGCCACCATATCAAATTGGAACCACTATTTCCGGTTATACCGGCGTAACGTCTCTCGTATCATCAGGTCCGTATTTTTTGATGCCTGTAAAAAAATGTAAACGTCTCTAAGAAGGAAGAAAGTCCATGTTTACTGAGTGAATGTGTCACCGCAAATCATCTAAAAACTCGCGATTACTCGCAGCTCTGTAATAGAGTATTAAATAAATGAAAGTTCTCTATTCTTCTCTTCAATCAATATGGAGTGTTATCATTCTATGCTGATAAATCTAAATGCTTTGCCTGTAAATTCTCTTCAAACTTTACCGAAATTCATCCGGAATATCTCTGCCTAACCTCCCTCCTAGAATTGAGTCTGTTGAGTGATATACTTACAACGCCTTCGATGGTCTCTGCTATCGTGTCTAATCTATATCCCCACAATGCATGTGGGGCCGATGATATCCCTGGAATAGTCACTGTGCTTCTGAACTGGCTCCTGTTCTCTCTAAATTTTATAATAAATGCTTCCCTATTTCCTGATATCATATCAGCTAGAAGTCATCATCTTTTCCAGTTTTTAAGAACTCTGGAGAGCCGTTTGACCCTTCTAACTATCGGCCTATTAGACTTCTACATCTTTTTGGGAAGTTCTTAGAGACCTTAATCAATGCTAAACTGGTTCATAATCTCTCATCCTATGGCCTTTTCTCACACAAGCAATATGACCTTCGTTTTTCCAGGTCAACTCTTTATGCACTGACGATATATGCGGAAAGAGTTTATCATGCTTGAGGTAAAAACGGTGAAGCCTGAACTTTGCATTGAATATTTCGAAGGCCTTTGGCAGGTTCTGGGATTCAGGTTTTCTCTAAAAGCTGAAAAGCTACCGTGGCTCCGAACAATTTTTTGAACTTGCCCAGTCTTTCTTATGAAATCGTGAAATGAGAGTTATCCTAAATGGCCACTCATCTAGATCCTTTTGTACTAAAGCAGGTGTCCCCAGGGCTCAATCCTTGGTCCTACTCTATTTTAAATTTTCGTTAATGACCTTCCTGATGACATCAGCTCTCAACTTGCTATCTACGCTGAAGACACAACAATTTATTTCTTCCTCGATATAAGGCTGATAAGGTCAAAATGGCTGCCGATGTCCAAAACGACATAAAGTCTGTAGGGACAAAAGATGGAGTGTTTATTTTGACGCCCCCAAAACTAAATTTCTCTCTATTAATCATCTGAGAGTCCGCTGGCAGCCTTCCATCAGCATGGCTGATGCTATCCTCCAGAAAAATTGCTTCGCTGCGCCTTCTCGGGCTCCCCTTTATCACCGATGTAATGCGGAAAGACTATGGTGAATCTATTGCTAGGTCAGCTGCTAAGTTCACTATGTCCGGGCAGACAATGTTTCTTACATAATCTTGCATATGTATAAGTCTACCATTCAAACATGATTAGAATATGTTGTCACATATGGTCCGTTGCCCCCACTATTTACCTTGAGCTCATTGATAAGGCATAAAGAAGAGTCTGCAATATTATTAGTCCCGATCTGGCAGATCACCTTCAGTTACCTTCCTTACACTTTAAGGTAGCCTCTAAAAGGTGTTTCTATAAATATTTTCATGGTAATTGTTAGAATGAACTCTTCGCTATGGTACCTAAACTTTATGAACTTAAGCGCAGTACTAGGATGACGTTGAGAGCTTATTAATTTACAGTTGAGCTGGGTAAATGTATCCATAATTTCTATGTTAAGAGTTTCTTCTCTTGCACTTCTTGCTTGTGTATCTCCCTTCCGGTTCCATGCTTTCCAGCCAACTTTACTCTGTAAAAATTTAAATGCAATGTCAATCGCTACCTACTGTCTACCTGATTACACTCTTCTCTTTCTGCTCACCATTAATGTTTCTGTTCCTAAATCGTCTACAGCCTGTAACCCCTTGTGTTTTAGTGACATTACTGCCTTGCGTGGGGTGATGCCAATTTTTAAAAAAAATGTACTTTAAGTTGATTATTTGTCGCCTTTCCTCCCTTGGCTTCAATATGTGTTGTGAGTGTCAAGTTTTTCAAGCCCTCATTCCTCAAACTGTAGCCTACGAATTCTCTATTTCAATCACCTCACTGTAAAGATTAAATATGACCGAAGAGTTCTATTTAAAATGTGCGTCTGGTTTTATAATGTGTAACTAACGTTCGGTGTGAAGCCAAAATTTCTTATAGCAATATTTATAATTTTTGACTAAATGATTTATTGCATTAGCGTTGACGAAGAATACGACTGCTAACGTATTTATTCTTAATAGAATAATTGTTTGAATATAGGTATCTTCAATATGGATTCCCTTTTTAGTAACCTCATCCCAGGAATGTCAATAAAGACTTGTGAAAGACAGGGAGGTAATTTCTGCCAACCAAATTTAAAATATCACATAGGTGTAAATAATGGCGTAAATTGTTTGAAACGTTGTCGAGTTATTCTGTTAAATTTTATTTAAATTTTCATTGGATTAAGAGCGACATCAAACAGGAGAGCTTTAAAATTAAATAACACAAATTCTTCAATTCAGTAGCTATATTTACAATGCAACGAATTCATGCTGAGTGTACTTTGTAATGTTTATGTACTGAAGTCATACATTACAGATACTCATAGACTAAAAGTAAAACGATATTTAATTTTGCAAAAGTATACTGACGTCAGCAATTATGTAACAATAGTTGTATTTACTATTTTCAGAATTGCCTTTAGTATAAATGAACGATTCATTTTTAAGTCTATTTTTATTGTATAATCTTTCAATATCTGTCTCTATTTCTGAGATGAGGTATTATGTACATTATTTACATTATTCGGACTATTTTCCTCATCTTTGTCGCCTCA